CCCCGGCACGCCCCAGATCCTGTGACAAATCACCCGTTATAGTAAGTCCCATAAGCGCCCCTGGTCGTCGCGCGTCGCAGGCCAGACCCGAGGAGTGAACTATGAGGTCCCATAGCTACGGCTACACGCTCAATATAAACCCACCTCGGCCCTGGACGTCTAGCTTGAGCTTGTCAAGCCGTCTCTTCACACTCTCCTCTACCCTTACCACCACTTCCGGCGGCTCGCCTTTCATCGCCTCTACCTCATCGCGCATTGCGAAGCCGTCTTCTACCGGTACAGCATCACCACCGCTCAGAAGCTTTCCCAATCCGGCGTCCTTCTTCCAGAAAGAATCACCATCGGCCTCGACGAGTCCTTTGAGACCCGCACTCGACAGTCACCACTACTGCTGCTACCGCCAGCGCCGGCACGGATTTGCGACCATGTCGTCGAAGCTCATACCCAAGGACCCGGCCTCCGTGGCCGTGATCCGCAACATCACGCCCAACGTCGCCACCGTCTCGGTCCCATTCTCGCGATTTGGGAAGATCCAAGTGGGGGGACGTGCCACCATAAGTAAGTGAAAGCACCTCCGCCACAATAAGCAATGGGAAAAAATACGACGTCGTTCGCGAGGTCGTCTGTGCTCCCGGAGAGAAGGGAAGGCAAAGGGAAGAGGGCCAGGAGAATACGGAATAAAAAAAAAAGGGTCTGCTGACTCCTCTGTGCCCCCCCGGGCCCTGGCTGAAACAGTACGCATGACGTCGGGCGCCATCGCCGTCTTCTCGCCCGTGGCGCTGACCGACGAGGTCAGGGCCAAGGTGGCCGAGATGGGCGGCCGGGTCGGCTACCTGATCGCGGGCGACATGGAGCACCACATCTTCCTGTCCGAGTGGAAGCGCGCCTACCCGGACGCGCGCCTGGTCGGGCCCGCCGGCCTGCCCGAGAAGCGCGCCAAGATGCAGGGGGACGACAAGATCAACGGCTCGGACGCCTTCGCCGTCGTTCTAACCCCCGAAAATGCGCACGACGCCGCCGCCGCCATCGGCCCCGAGTTCGCGGCCGACTTCGACGTCGAGTACGTGGCCGCGCACCCGAACAAGGAGATCGTGCTGTGCTACCGGCCCGACGGCGGCGTGCTGGTCGAGGCCGACCTCATGTTCAACCTCCCCGCCGTCGAGCAGTACTCGCGCGTGCCCGAGGCGGAGCGCCGGGCGGGCAACGGCCTGCTCAACAAGCTCTTCGTCTCGCTCAACGGGACCCAGGGCCCCGCCAAGGGCCAGAAGCGCCTGCAGTGGTACGCGCTCAGCAGCGGCGGCGAGGGCGGGCGCGCCGCCTACAACGCCAGCGTGCAGCGCATCGACGGCTGGGCCTGGGACCGGCTCGTGCCCTGCCACGGCGAGGTCATCGAGCGCGACGCCAAGGCCACCTTCCGCAAGGTCTTCGAGTGGCACCTGCGCGGCCACAAGTAAGGTGATGAGATGTTTCCGCCCAAAATGTCGGACTGGCACGCGGATGGATGGCTGAGGTCTGGTGGCAATTGTTCAACACTGTTACTTATCGCTCATGATACCAATTTGACATACGATTTCGAATTATACTCCTCCTTCGTCCTTGACACTACGAACTACATACCTAGGCATGTCATTGGTCTCTTGAGGCCTAATACACCTCTTGGAGTGTCAACCATTATACTATCTATTTCCAAGGTCCCTTAGTGGCTGGTTATGGTGCCTTGTGTTACTACAACGATACACTACGCAGTCAGGCGTTCCAGGTCATTCGAAGCACGACATCTCAACTCAGCCAGTCATATATCCATACAACAACCCCACTGTACAAATATGCCGACTTGACTTATATACCCAGCCAACAGTAGTAGTCGCGGCGCGACAGAGACGACAAACTACAGCTCTTCCCGTCCACTCGGGGCATGACAAAGACAAGTGAGAGAGCACACCACTCGCGGTGGTCGCTTCTGATTCAGTTTTCCGTTTCCGTGTGTATTTAAACCGCCGTGTCTACTATCAACAACAAAGACAGAAGAATTCGGAACAACACGTGGCTGCCTCTCAACTCAATCGACACTGTCCAGAGATCCGCGCCCTTTCACATACGCTGGGTGACGACCCCCTGGCAATGTGCTTTCGGGGACGGCGGCGGCGGCAGGCTTGCGGTTCCGATGATCGGGGAGCAGAGATTCCGCGTGCGCGGAGTAGTGACGATGGAAGTACCTGGTCGGCCAGCTCGCCCTAACGCCCTGAGCGCCATTCCTTGAAGTCCCAGTTCCCTTGCGCCGTACCTTGTTGCTCCGTGCCCTGGCCAGATCTACCTGTTACATGATTTGGTTGCCCTTCTTCTCTTTATCCGGTCCCCGTATGTGTGTGTGTGTGTGTGTGTGTGTGTGTGTGTGTGTGTGTGTGTGTGTGTGTGTGTGTGTGTGTGTGTGTGTGTGAAAGTGTGCCATTCCGCGTCAGCATCGTTCCCCTCTGCACTTGTTTATATCCGCGTCCGCATCCTTATAGATCGGGCGAGACGACGGGCGTCGGGACAAGAGCCGGTCCAACAACAGGTTACGAGGCACCGGTGCAGAAGGCCCCCGCTCCCATCGTAATTTTCATCTTGCCCTGTGTGTGGACACAATGCGGGCATTGATCGTCATCGTCATGGTCGTCGTCTCCTGAGAGAGACGGGCCCGTCGTTCTGATTGCCGCGGTGTTCCGTTGTTCAGAAGTGCTTCCGCTCCCGCGCGCGGCCGCGGCGCTGCTGCTCCTCCTGGCTGTCGCTGCGGCTCGAGCGGGAGCCGTCGTGGTCGTGGTTGGCGGGGTCCGTCTCGACGGAGCAAGGCAGGGCCTGGAACAGGTCGTACCGGGCCGAGGAGCCCTCGTTCATGACCTGTGTGCATCGCCGCCAGCAACGCTGTTGTCAGCCAGCTGCTGTGATGGATTGACATCATTCCGCATCCCTTGTCCCTTTTCTTTGTTCCGTCTTCTTCTGCCCGGTTCATGACGGGCAAAGATCCGAGGCTGTCTCTGGTTGGACGAGCAGGGTGGGCAAAAGGGGGACGGCTGATGGCAAGACCTCTGGCAAGACCACGCGACACATACCAGGCAGAGCTTACACCTGTCGCCGAACTGCGCGACCTTGTTGTGGCAGTTGACGGCGCCCTGCTCATCCGTGATGAATAGATCAGCAGGAGTTCTTAATTTCCCTGTCGTTTGTCGTCGTGGAGTACGCAAGACGGACATAATAGTTTGCACAATAGCAATACATCGTGGAGATTATCGGCAGCGGCCAAAGGCGGGTCCGGCAATGGTGTATGTGTCAATGCGTGTGCGTGTGCGCGGGAAGCTCGATGGAAGAGGATCCTCTAAGTTCAGACTCCCCTGCGGAAGGCGAAGACGAAAATATTTTATATATAGAAGAGGCCGCCGCGAGAACGAGGCCTGCGAGAGACAAGAAACCACAGACGGATCAGCCGGAACCCCTGACACGGGGACTGGAGAAGAAGAAGATGAGGACGAATGAGCAAGTGAGCAGGTTCCCGCGAGACAGGGACACACGGCCCGCTACTGTAGCCGTTGGAACCAGACAAGGATCAGGAGGGTCCCCAAGATCTGGACGAGATCTGGTCAACCAGGGAGGGTATGTAGGTAGCTTGGGCTTGATTTTGTCCCGGCCTCTCTCTCTCTCTCTCTTCCGACCCGCCGCGCGGAGGGCTCAGGGACCTTATAGCCACGCAGCCAAGGGCATCGACGCACAGGCGAGGAGATACGTAACTTAGCTCAGGTGAGACTCGACTATGAGGAGATGGGGGCCTCGAATAGCCGAACCTGGGACAAATCCACCCGAACTTGCTTCCCCGGGGTTCTCTCTCCCCTTGCTAGCCTCTGTGGCTCCGGGGGAGAAGGGGGACGGAGATACGGTGGCCCAGCTTCTGGGTTGCGATGTGCATCGTGCAGGAACAACTTATTTGCTTGGCTGCAGCCTACCTAGGTACGAAGTGCCGGTAGGTGTGTGAAGTAGGTAGGTAAAGGTTTGAGGCAAGGTACGTGATATCTCGGCAGATAGCCAGCCAGGGGGAGCTAGGAGGTGTGATAGGTATTAGGCTAGCCAGCTAGCTACGTTCCTATTTTTATAGCTCAGGGTACCGGTATCTGGGCACACGAAACGAGACAGCGGGATGAGACGATCTGCGACCTCCTTGCCGGGACCAATTCCGATCCAGCCTTACGCCGGAGGGGGCATATGCCATGGCGTCTGTTATTGAAGAAAGAATCTTACCGGTATATGAGTCACCAGCCTCCACCACCACCACCGAAATCAACGTTCCGTGGAGCTTTACCTTCGAAGACGGCCCGGCTTCACGAAGTGCAAGGCCCCCTTTTTTTTTCTCTTCCTCGCGTCCCGAGTCGCGTCCAAACCCAAAACCAACTCACTTCAGGGCATGGATGGCACCACACCACCATCATCATGCCACCCCACCGTCCGTGCATTTTTCTATTTTACTCTTTTTTTCCGGGCTGGCTTCTCTCGGAGCGTTTCTAGGTTTCGGCTCCTGTTCTTACCGTACCTACAATGGTTTAGGTACCCTAGCCAGTGGATATAAGTGCGGCCGGCGAGGGCTATCCACGGTCCCATATAAAGACCCAGTTATCCATCTCGACGCAGGAGCACGTGACTCCCAATTTGGTGAGCCGGTGACTCCATTGCCGTACGTGCGCTCCAGCCGTACGCGCGCTCCATGGCCGTACGCGCGCTCCATGGCCGCACGCACCCAAGGCACCCAGCGCAGCACTTGTTGGGGAGGGGGAGGCGGGGACCGGGGAGGAGGGCGGGTAAGGCCAAAAACCAGGGAAATTTACGATCTATTGTGAGCCGTTAGTGGGCTCAACGTACGAATAGAGCAAGAAGTAGCAGGGGATTGAAGATGCATGGTGGTGAACAGGTAGTAAAATAAAAATAAAAACTGTCACATATTTAGTAATCCAAAGTTATAGACAGCGAAAACGCGAATGTGCCCATTACTGGAGTCGAACCAGTCGCCTCCTCATTTTCTTATAGAACACTTGAGAACTACGATACTAGTGAGGCGCTCTACCGCTGAGCCAAACGGGCTTGATTGGTGGATGGAGGTTTCCAAATTTCAATAGCACTCATATAGCAATGAAGTAGGAAGCTGGAAGCGAGTCGGTAATGGTCCCATCATTGGGGCATCGGGGGCCCCCGTAGCGTTGGCAGCGGTCGGGTGCTTGATCTGATTGGGCGTGGGAGATGCCAAGCATCTAGTTCAAGAAGTGGCAGGCCAGGGTCTAGAGATGATGTCACCTGTCAACACATAGACCTCATCGTCACCCGCATTCTGTGTGATCCAATGATAGTCACCTCGGGGACATGTGGCTTCATCTTTAAGCCGACTACAGGTGTCCAGAGTATCTGGTCTTGATTCGCTTACCCGCCGACTACTGCCCGAAAGGACAACTCAGTACCTATAAGTACTTACCGTAACTTAGGAACTTCGTGACACCGGCTCCATCAACCATTGCCTCCGCAGGTCGCCCGGTGCAGGTCCAGGAGGAAGCATGACCCATTGGGCGGGCAGGTAAAAACGGTACAAAACCTGCTGCTGCCTAAATCGATCGACTGGCCGGGTTGTCGGTCTCTCTCCGCGGCACTGTTGTCTGTCTTCCCGGTGCCGATCCCGTCGGCCGTGGCTGTCACCATTTAGATAAAGTCCGCCCCTTCCCCACGCCGCCGGCCATGTTCGACCTTCCCGACATTATCAACACCATACTAGTTGTCTCAGTTACCATTATCCTCACCCTCAGGCTCTTCAACCTTACCTACAGACCCCCACCTGTGTCTGATACGCCCGTCATTATGCATCGCCGCGGAGGAGCCCACATGCCCTTTCGCAGGGTGCCGGTCCAACCCCCGCAGCCGTCTGAGCCTCCCAGATTGAGGCACGAGTATGAGCCCAGCCCGAGTGACTGTGCGCGGGTGAGCTCCGACCTCATCAAGGCGACCGGATTCCCTCCCGAGCTCGTCGACATCGTCATGGACTTTGCCAGCTACTGGGCGTGCTCGGTGGCGAGCATCGATTACACGGTCCTGCCCTCGGGCTGTCTCCCCATCTACGGAACAAGAGCTGACGAAGACAAATTCATGGTAAGCGAAAGGCAGAGCATGAGATATATACTTGTGTCTTCGTCGCGCTGACTCCCGACGGTCCAGCTCCGAACCGAGCCCTTCGGCCTTACGCGCTGGCACCCAGATCGGCTGGATCTCTGGCGGTCCCAGGCGGTGCCCCGTCCGCTAGAAGAGGAGTATGCGGAATCGGAGCTGGAGAAGTTCATCGAGGGGCCGAAGTCGAAACTCGAGCATCCCGTCCGAAAGATCGTCTTCGACATCACGAGCAAGGACCAGGGAACCGGCGGAGACCCCGCGGACCGCGGTACCTTCCGATACTCGTGGACCTGGTTCGACGTCGGCATCGACCGCTTCGACAAGCAGCACGAGTCCTCCGAGTCGGGCGAAGGAGCAGACATCCCCTGCTCGGCGATACGTCCCGTGTGGCCACCGCTGCGGGAGGACGCGTCCGCGTACGACCACGCCCTGCACGCCGACAAGTACCACATGATCCAGAGCAACCGGCTCGCGCACCGGCCGTGGCAGCACCACCACATCGAGTGGTCGTGGACGGACGACATCGACCCGGCGTCGGCGGCCGGCGAGGAGCTGGAGAGGAACGGCCGCGGCGCGGCCACGGGCAACGGGGCATTCCTGCGCAACATCAAGCTCGGCGACATGATTACCGTCTGGGGCCGCGCCAGGTTCGGCGGGTGGCGCAACATGATCCAGAATCTCGAGATCCGGGTCTACTGGGCCCTGTAAGCATACATAGGTATGTCGCATATTGTATTGGTACCCGTATATCAGTAGCAAGTCAATGTGTTTATGTTGCCCCCATGCAATAAGTCACGAATCTGCCGTAAGGAGATCACAAGTATCTCTAGGCCAGGACTCTTATCGGAACTTGGGCCTCTCTTTGTACTTCCCTTGGCGCATTCGTCATAAGCTGCAGAGTAGCACGGTGGTAGGCAACACACGAATGACTCAAAACTGATAGCTCTGACCTGGTCACACTTGAAGCAAGTCGTGGCCGCCTTGACAGATTCCTCTGCTCCCGTGAGTGTGTCTGGTTCGAAATACCTTGAGTATATCCGTAAATGTAGCGTGAAGGTTTCCCCACAGCGGGTCAGGAATCATCCCATGATCCCAGCGTAGCCGACGTGGGGCTAAGCTAGCTACGTGTGGGGACGGCCATGGACCTCGCATAATCGATAAGAGCTCGACCTCAAGATGTCGCCCGTCCACGACTTGCCCTCTTCCTCTCTCCCTCTCTCCCTCTCTTTTTGCCTTACCATCAGCTGGCTGCATCTCCGGGCTCTCAGACGGAGAAACTGGGTATGATGACTTGACATGGCTTCTTCCCAGCCCGAGCCGACCTATACGGTCTTTGTCCGCCTCCCCTTCCCCCGAGGCAACTTCGTGGATCCTCCTCCGGTACGTGCCCGCTGGCCTCTCGTGCCTCTCCCAGGCCCTTTTTCGTGCTGATTTGCCGGGGCCAGGTCAACTGGGATGCTTCCAAAGATGACGCCCTGTGGAACATCGTTTCAAGGCTCTCCAAGACGGAAATTGACTGTGAGTTGAGCATAGGCGATGGGACATTTCTGTCTAGGAGACGACTAACCATAACCCAGGGAATGAAATGTAGGTTGCAAGGCATCGCGCCCAAGCCCGACAGAGCCCCATTTTAGACTCACCGTGCGCAGCGCCGCCGAGTTCCAGGTCACCGTCGACTTCCTCCTCCAACAGGTCGCCTGGCTCACCGAACGACATGCCTCCCAGGTGCGAGCCCAGATGCGCAAGGCCGCCGCCGCCGCCCGGGGCTCGTCGGGCGGCCCCTCGCCCCAGCCCGGCTCCGAGGGCCCTCCTCCTACTCCTCTGACGGCCGAGTCGATGCGGCGCACCGGCTCTGGCGGACAGCAGCAGCAGCACCGGCCGCCGTCCGCCCTGTCTCTCCGCAGGGACTCCCCGATGCCGCGGCCGCCCGATGCCAGCGTGCCCGGGACGCCGATGAGGAGCACCCCCCGCCCGCCCGCCACGCGCACCTCGTCGACCAACACGGCCGTCTTCACCACGCGGAACCTGGGCGCGAGCAACAGGGCGGCCATGCGGGCCAGCGCCGATGCTCAACGGCGTCGCCTGTCGTCGCTCCCCATCGCCGCGGCCGTCGGCCCTGGCGGCGACGACAACGGCAACGAAGAGGCCGATCCGCTATCGCCCGGGCCGGCCGAGTCGAGCTCGGAGTCGTCGTCGTCCTCCTCGAGTCCGGCGCAGTCGAGGATCATCCGGCGACCGCCACGCTTCCAGGCCGGCGCCGACGCGACGTCGTCCTTTGCCGACGATGACGACGACGACGACGATGATGACGCCGACGCCGACGATTACGACGACGACGAGGCGCAGCCGGCCTTCCTCCCGTACAACCCGCAGCCCGCCGAGGGCTCGGGGGCCGGCGGCGGCGGCGGCAGCGGGCAGCAGCACGACCTCAGCGCGACGCTGCGCGGCAGCAGCCAGCAGCCCCGCGACCATCATCATCATCATCATCATCACGGGAAGCGAGCGTCCAACAAGGGAGCGCCCGCCGCTCGGGAGCGGATGATCCGCCGGTCCCAGACGTCCGACTCGTACTCGTCCTCCACCAGCTCGGCGCCCGTGTCCAAAGGCGGCGGCGGCGGCGGTAGTGGCGGCGAGAAGAGACCCAGCGGCCCCCTGTCCCCGCGGCGCACGATGGAGCTCGCGGGTCGAAGCCCCGGCGTGGGGAGCGGGAAGGGCAAGGGCTACTCGCGAGACAGCGACGGGACGCCCAGCATGGGGAGCAGCTTCAGTGATCTGGACGGTAATTACGCGCCCCAGCCCTGTTCCCCTAAGCCCCCCATCCCCATCCCCAACATCCCAGCCCCAGCCCTTGCTTAGACCGAGCATACTATCCGCTCTGCTGTTAGGTAAGGTGCTAGCTGCTGACTGAGTGACTTGTCCTTCTCCTTCTAGATGCGTCGGTGACGCAGTCCGCCCTCGAAGAGGCGCTGGCGAGCAAGATGCAGGACGGCAGCACGATAGGCAGTCTCAGGGGCACCATCAGCAACGCTTTCCGGGGCAGGTACCAGCCCAAGTAGAAAGGGGCGAGAAGGGGGCGTGAGGGCGAGGAGGGGGGCCAGACGGCCGGCTGGGACGGATTACCTATTAACATCTATCGCCATGATGCAAGAAGACATGATGAGACAGATTCTTATGATGCGGGTAAAGCGGCGTTCAGGTTGCTACTAGCTAGGTTCAGGGATTAAGATTATCGGTTGGATTGAAGGACAGATGGAGCAAATATATCGCATGCATACTACGTGCTTCATCGTGGCTGGCCTCTCTCCCCCCCCCCTCTCTCTCGAATATCGAGTCTACACTTCTTATCTCTGGGTACCTAGTCCTACTTTCAATCTCCGGCTTTGATAACAACTGACAGAGTCTGTTGGGGGCCTTGTTTTTCTTCTGCTTCCTCTGGATAGCATCTGGGCGACTACATACCTGCGTGTCTTCTAGGTTGTGGGTGTAGAGGAAAGGAAAATCTCACCGCCATGGCCCCCCTCTTTTCCCTTCCTTCACATCTCCTTCCCTTCTTTTCCCCTATTTACTTTGCTTCTGCCGGAACCTACTACTGTCTGAGGCAGCCCAGCGGTGGACACGATAACAGGTATATACGTTACACATCGGCTGGTCCTCCTCTCGGGCATCCAGCCAGTTGGTTAATCAAACCACCCATCTCTGTGATGGATGAACTGCTTCCTATAGTATCGATGTCAAAGTCTAGATGATGATTTCTTTGTATTTCTTTGATCAGTTTGCCGTGGCAGGCCATTATTCCTTGGTATACACACACCACCTCAGTGAAGACAGACAGTCAGTTGGGGAACACCAAGATACCAACCAAGCAACTCCCCGTTCACAAGACAAAGCACGCGGTGAAGGCAAGTAGGGGCCTTGGACCACACTTAATGTGT